CCTGGCAGTGGGGGACAGACCCCTACCTTCTCCTGTAATCCTTAGATGCCTGGTTCTAAAACAAAAAGGGGGAACTGTGGGGAGCCATTGCACGGCGCCCTAAAGATGGCGCCGGCTCCTTTCTCCCGGAAGGACTGGCAAGAAACAAACAACTCCTAATAAGGAGATGGCTGAGCTCCCTTCCGGCTTCCGCATTGCTGTACCTATCAATCCTTGCCACTTGGCTGCTTTTGATTGGTGTGCTGATGGCTATAAGAGGGATAGGAGAGGGAAGGAGGCGGAAGAAGAAGCTTGTTCAAGGTTCCTGAATAAACTGCTTGAAGAAGAGTTCGGGTTGCGTCTTCCTTGCTGGTCGAGGGACGCGACAGAGGATCTCTTTTGGTCATGTTTATTAGGGGTTCTATGAGCTTCCTGTACTAGGATTTCTCTGTTCTTCTCCAAACCTGGGAAATTTTCTGCTAATATCTCACTAAAAAGGCCTTCTAATCTTTTCTCCCTCTCCATGCCTTCAGGAACTCCTAGAACCCGAATGTTGGTTTTTTTAATAGTATCCTGCAGATTCCTGACAATATGTTTTAGATTTCTAATTTCCTCTTCTTTTCTTTGGTCTGACTGTATCCTTTCCTGTTCTCTGTCTTCTAAGTCCGATATTCTCTCTTCTGCTTCACCCATTCTGTTCGTAAGGCTCTCTATTGTGTTTTTCATTTGATCTATTGAATTCTTCACTTCATTATGATTTCTCGTCACTATCACAGTTTCCTGTTGTACTAGTTGTTTTGTTTCATTTTGATTCCTCCTTAATATTTCATTTTCACAAGAGAGATTTTCTATCTTGTCCATTAAGGATTTCTGTAGTTCAAGAATTTGTTTTTGAGAACTTCTTAATGTTCTTATCAATTTTTTGAGATCTGCTTCTTGCATTTCTTCAGTGTCATCATCTTCATAATCTTGAATTCGGGTGTCTTTTTCATTTGGGGGTGTCATGGTGACTTCCTTGTTTTTGTTGCCTCGGTTTTTGCGTTTGTTATTTGGCATATTGGAGATATTTGGTTTCTTCACTGTGGTGCTTTTTCTTGTTATACTATGACTCTAGATTAAGTGGACTGTCTGTTTTTGATGGAGCCTTAGAGGCTTGAGATGGGTGTGGCCTGAGAGCTCTGTTTGGTGTGCAAAAGGTGACACTCCCAGGTTAGGCGTGGTAGATCTCTCTCTCTCTCTCTTTCTTTCTTTTTTTTGATTCAAAAGGGAAGTAATTCCGCACAGCTGAACAAAGTTGGAGGTAGTTAGCCGGCAAATGATATACCCACAGGAGCCAGAGATCGGAAGCTCTTTCCCAAGGACCACACAGGGAATCTGTTCTGCCCTCAGGGTGGGCTCAGATTCTCCTTCAGTCTCCCACTGGGTTGCCAAAGTTACGGAATTGTAGCATCTCTGGAGAGTACTCACGTGAATTCCGTGAGTTCTCTCCCCCATCGTCTCTTTTTTCACAGTCTCAGTTCAGTAGCACCACAAATTTACTAGGTCCTAATCTCCTGTTAATTCGCCCCGCCCAGAGTCAGGTTTTTCTGCTAGGCTCAGGGCCGGTGCAGACCTGAGGTCGCTCTGCTTATGACGTATGTCCAAGATGGCGTCTGCTCTTTGTCTTGCTCGCCCTTGAGAGGTGAGCGGAGAGAGAGAAACCCGTGTCCATACCAGTCACCTTTTTTTTTTTTCTCTCTCTCTCTTCCAGTTAGCCTGGTGAACTTCCCCCCCCGGGGGGTCGTTCCCTCTAGTCTCCTCTCTCCGCTTGCCTGCCGGTGTCTCGGGCTATTGAGGTTCGGCTCACCTCGCATTCCAGCGCTGGTGTGTTGAGTCTGCCGCTGGTGTCCCGAACTGTGGGCTCCCATGCTCTCCACACAGGTCCACTGTGAATCACGCATTCCGGAAGAGTTTCTTCTGCTGTTTCCTCCCCTACTCTTCTTTGAATCTGCAGTATCTCCACTTTTATTAAACTGTCCCTTCCCGGACTATCAGTGTGCTCCCTTCCTATTCCGCCATCTTGTCTCCTCTCATATTTCTTGTTTTATTTGTTTGAAAGGAAAAAAGAGCAAAACAGATCTCCCAACTGCTCATTCACTCCCCAAATGCCTGCAACAGCCATGGCTGGGCAAGACTAAAGCCAGGAGCCTGGAACTCAATCTAGGTCAGCCGTGTGGGTAGCAGGGACCCAGGTACTTGAGTAATCCTAGACTCTCTTTTAATTCATAAACTCAATGTTAATTTGAATCAGGTTAACCAGTGTCTTCTTTTTCTCACGAAGGTAGGAATTTCTGTAAACTGGTTTTGCTGCATTCATAAGTTTGCATGTGTCATGTTTCCATTTTCATTTGCCTCCAGTGCTTGTTTAATTTCCCTTTTAATTTCTTCACTGACCCAATTTTTGTTTAGGGAGAAAATGTTTTTTCTACGATACTTGCAACTTTAATGTGAGTTTGAAAATATAAGGAAGATCTAATAGGTCTTTGTCACTGATGGACTGTGAAGGTTGGGAAAAAGGGAAGTCAAAGATACCTGATGAGACATTCACTAAAAGACAATAAAGATCGGGAAGATTCGGGGTACAGGTAAATGTGTTGAGGAATCTGCAGATCCTACATGAGCACTTTCACTAGGCAGGTATAAAGTTGAGGCGAGAGCTAAGTGATAAGGTATGACTGATCACACACCTTTAGAGAGCTGCACAGATACGAAGGACACTGCCAAAGGACTGTAAACTGTCTCAGTAGATAAATTCTTTCTGAGTAAGGAGGTAAATTGAAAATGGAAGATGGCTGAGTCAAAATCCTAAAGAACCACCAAATTTTAAGGATGCTTGGAGGGATAAAGAAAGCCAAGGACTCGTGATATGAGCCAGCCAGAGGAGAAGGTAGAAAAACTAGAGAAACACCGTAGAAATTGCAAGGGGACAAAATTCTGAGCAGCATCAACCTGTATTGACCACTTGGTGTTGGGAACCACTGAGGGTGTAACTGGGATGGTAGGCCATGATCTTGCAGTAGTAATGATACACTTTCAACCTTTCAACAAGTATCATCTAATGGACCAAGAACAATCCCTGAGGAAAGGCATGACATTGATCTAGATTTAGAGCCGCTGGAGGAAGAAGTATGCTGGTTAAGAGAGTGGTTAAGGAATGAATCCATTGGTAGTTTGGAGCGATGATGACTATTTTGAAAGAAAGTAAAACAGTCAAGAAATTCAATAACTTTATACTTGAATAACTAAAAATTGAATAACTCCATTGAAGACCAGGTAGAATGTGAGTGAAAGAATAAGAAGTGTGGACCATTGTGGCCACAAAATGGGAAACCGGGTTTGTGTATTTCAAAAAAAGTTAAATGCATTGGATGTTGATGAGATTCAAGACATGGTCTGGGTGTCCGTTTCTAAAATGGTAACTAATACCATGTGAAGAAAGGGTCAGGAAATTGTAAGGAGGCAAGTGGGTGGGTCATCCATAGGAACTTTGAAATTTCCCAAATAATGGCAGATTTGAGAGAAATACATAATGACACAGGCATAGTTAGCCAAGATTGGAACAGAAGGGATAAACAGGGATAAAGATGTAAGAGATAGTAGTTGAGTCTTCTACAATATCATGCTTCTTGTAAAGACAATTTTATGATTATCATCATCATCAATTCTAGCAGACTCATCCATATTTAAATGTGAGTAAAAAAGAGAATTATAAACAAAATGTAAGTATCTTGGAGATTATCTAGCTTTCTGTCAATCTATGATTGAAAGTTTACAACTCATTGCATGTAAAATCAAAAACAGTTTTTAGAGTAACTAACTGTCTTATAATTGAGAGGGAAAATAGCAGTGGCTCTATTTTCCATGTCTTTTATCAGATTTTACCCTCACTATGCTTCTGGCTGCATTGGTTTTTACACACTCTGAGTGCCGGAGGTTGGGGGAAATAAAATAGAACTCTGCTATATCTAGAAGCATGACAGACAGATCAAACTTCTAGTTGAAAAGAGTTTGCAATACCTAAGGAGCACAACAGGATGCATGGGAGTATGGAAACAAAATATGAGGCTGAACACCCAGGATGGTCTTTGTAAAACCTATGCAGGATTCTCTTGGGAAGACTGAAAAATGAAAAATGGCCTCATGCTTCATAATTGACAGGCTACCAAAGTATTTGGGAGTGGTGCTGGAAGGTGCAAAGAATTTGAGTGGGTGACATACAGAGGGAACCATAATGGTTGGGTGGAAGACAGACAGAAGGCAAAATTGCAAGTGGTGATTAGCTTGAGATGTCATTGAGGTGGAGTTTTATATCTATTTTGGGAGTGAACAATTTAGGGGGAAAAACATGCCCAGAGAACCATGTGTTCATTTAATAGTACCAACCAGGTGAGCAGCCTCTGGTACCCATAGTAACAAAGCCCCCAAAACACAGACTACATATAGTAGCATGGAGACTGTATTCTAAGCCTCCTGGTTCTTGGGGTAGGCAGGGTGCTGTGATGAATGCATTGTCAACACAAACACCATACAGAAGGATGAGAAATTAGGTTAATGACCTCAGGCAAATCCATTTGCCACCTCTTTGTTAGGTCTGAACTTCTCATCTTTAAAAGACAAGTATGTGACTACTAGAGAGATGAAAAGTATAGCAGAGAAAAAAAAAGACTAAGAGGAAGAACTCACATTAGGAGTACCAAGCTATCAGTAGACCTGGAATTTGGGAAATGCAGATGGACATTTTCCTCTGCTACAATTGATTCCTACAAATGGGCTGATTCACTAACCATTACAGCTCCTACATTACATTATATTACATGTGGGCAAGTTCTCTTCTGTTTTGAAACTCATCGGTCTCGTGACTGAATATGTGAGTTAAACAGAAGGAAAATTAAATTTGAAAATGGTGATAATTTTTTGAAGACACCTGGGAACATAATTAACAGCCAAAAAAATAAAAGATCAACTGAAGCAGTTTTACTTACCTTATGAATGTCAAACACCTTTTCTGCAAAAAGACCGTTGACAATGCTGAGTTCATAATCCTTGTGAGATGCATTTATATTAGCAAGGGCCCTTTTCAATTGAGATTGTAGTCCTGGCTGTAATTTTAAAATATGTAAAAGATTATTCTTTAACTGCAAAGATATGGACAATCTCATTTACACTTAAAGTAAATCATGCATATTATATTACAAAAGAATTAAAAAATAATGATACTATAAAAGCAGCAAAAATGCCACATACAATGTCTATCTTTCCTACAATATCTTACCTTTCCTACAATGTCTTACCTTTACTTTGATCAAATTATTTACTCAAGTAACCAATCTTTGAATAAAATTGTTAACTGGATAATGAATCTGCCTAATATTTATACCAAATTATTATGTTTTACCAATGTAGTTGACTGTGAATATCAAAGGGGGAAAGGGAAATGTTTAGTTCTATGCTATCTTGCCAAAAATCCATGCAATATGCAAATAAACTATTAGCAAATTATTAGTTAACAAGCAAATTAACAAAAATGTTATTTGAAATATCCACAATCTGGAAATCTAAATGAAATTTGTTCTTTTAACTTAAAAGGCTAGAGAACAGATTTAAATATATTCATGAGAGTAAGTTTTCTCAATTTCAGCTCTTTTTCTTAAAAGAAAACCATGTTGTCTTTACCTGACTATTTGAAGAGTTTCTGTGTCTTGAGACAGTGTTGAAATAAAGCATCTGCAAACAGGATGCAAGCAGAGGTTATCAGAATCAAAGGTTTTATGGGAAACAGCAGGAGATTTTAACAATAAAAATGTTTCTTTCCCAATACGTGAATGTAACTGTTACTCCCAGCTCGCTAATACCCTAAAGCTAATACTCTCCATGACTCCAGGTGCACATTAAGAGGCTCAAAAGGAGAGAAATTGCTTTAATATTTATCCTATTTCCTCTTTCCCATGCCTGTTTTCTTTTAGGTTCACCATGATTTTGGAATAGGTATTATTTTACTAAATAGTATAGTAACATTATTTCCACTAAAACATGCTTGTATGGTGGTCCGTCCACACACAGACATTAATATTGCATTGTATATCCCTCCCAGCTTAACTGAATGAAAATCTTATGTAAGAATGATGCAGTTTCCAGTATTGTCAATGAAATGTAATCATGGTGCTCACTCACACAACAAAACTCAGAATACTTGTAGACTGTCTTGTGCCTTTTTAAAAATGATGTGGCAGCTATAATTTTACAACTGGACCAATGCAGATAAGACCATCAACTCATGTGTTCATTTAACATTAATTTAAGTTTTACTTACCAGGTTTAGCCTTTTCATTTTTTTCATTATGGAATCACAAAACCCATCAGCATTTCCTACAAATTACTACCCATGAATTTCTTAAAATTTGTATATAGAATGGCATTAAGTTTTAATTAAATAGGTACAGAAATGCTATATCGTCACCATTTGAATACTTAGTCTTTCTCCTCCCGTGCCCATCCCATATTTTATAGGGGTCTCAAGATGTAGAGTTCCTCCTTTCAAGTTATCAATAACATGAAATTCAAAATTATTTAATATATGCCTTATTTTACCCAATATATTTCTTTGAGCACAGAAATTCAGGTTTTTGCTAGCATTTCTGTCTGACTTTTGATCTATACACACTGACTCACTTAAATGATGCACTAAACAAATGTAATTCGGGTAATCATTTGTATTTATTGAATTTTTAAAACTATATTTTGTGTATCAAAGCATACATGTAAGAAAAATCCTTTTAAATGAGGAGAAGATTTTTTCATGGTGATAGCTATAAAATATCTCCGCCCAAAGCTAATTGTTTTAAATGAATCCCACTGTCACTGCTGTCACCTCCTCACCAATACTTGCTGTCCAAGTAGTTGTGGAATCTTAACTTGATGTCACACTTCAGTGGCTTCTGGCAAAAAGAGATTTCAGACGCTAGGTCCTTCTGTTCTCCTATCTCAATCATATCTACTCAGTGTTTCTTAAAAGTTAGTGTGCACCTGAAGGCTTATTAAGCCCCATACTGCTGGGCAGCACACCCATGTTTGAGAGGGAGTATTTCTGTTGTGGGGCCCTAACACTCACATTTCTAACAAGTTCTTCAAATGATGTTGATGTTACTGGTCTGTTAAACACTCTCTGAGAACCACTGCACTAAGGAAAATAATAAAGGCTGTGGTTCTGGGAGAACTCCCGGAGTATCAAGCTCATAAGCAAATACAACCAGCTGCATGCTATCTTCACATCTGCACATCAAGATGTGAGAAGTGACATCTGTGCCTTCCTGCTTCCCGGCATTGACAGAGACCATTGCTGTGAGAACAATTTCCCCCCACAGTTTACTGTAAAAGCCAAGGCTGACCTTATCAATCTGAGCTGCACAGTCACCTCTGGCACCCAAACGGACCAGGGCCAGGGCAGTGAAGAGGCTCAAAGAGGAAAAGAACACATTTCCATTGCCGTGATTGTTATCCATCTCTCTGAAGAGATTGAAGCAAAATTCTGCATTTGCTGCAGCAAGGGAGGCCATGGCGAAACAGAGTGCAGCCTAGGGAACAACGAGAAAATTAAATTAGCTCTGAGTACATTTCCTGGGAATGTGGTGGTTTTTATTTCCATTTTTTTCTTTCAATTTAAAGCTTCAAAGCTTCAGGCTTTTTCAACCTTGGGTATAATCATTGAGTAACATAACAGAAAGGAAAATGTTTCCTTGACCCAGCCTCCTTGTCATACTCTGAAACTATCTCCTCTGGAAAAACAATGACTATAATACTCTTATTTTTCTCACACTGATATCTCTTAGTGCAACATTTCTACCAATGCTCTCCTATTCATATCCATGACATAGCCCTGATTCGTCTTGATGTGGCATTTCTATGTTCAAAGGCCTTTTAACAAAAACATCTTGTATTTATTTGTGTATTTTACTTGAAATACAGAGAGACAGGAGAGACAGACAGAGCTTCCACCCATTGGTCACTCCCCAAATGTCTTCAAGAGCTGAACCCAGGAACTAGAAACTCAACCTAGGTCCCCCACACTGGTACCAGGGACCAAAATACTGGAGCCATCACTGCTCCCTCCCAGGGTGCACTTAATCTGGAAGCTGGGACCTAACCCAGGTGCTCTGATGTAGGACGCAGGTGTCCCAAACAGCCCCTTAACCACTACGCCAACCATCTGCCCCTAAATGGCCTTTAAACTGCACACATAAATAGTCATAGGAATTACTAGTTCTCAGATCATCCCATATTTCTACACTGAAATAGAGTGAAAAATCCTGCTTAAAGTAAATATTACAACATTAGACAGACTTTTCTTTCTTTTCTTTTTTAGAGAACAAGGCTAGATTTATTGATCCCACTACAAGGAATCAAGAAAGCAGGTCAAGTAGGCACTGACTATGGTTCCCTGGACAGTTTTTTCAAGATATTATATAGCCTAAACCATCTGATATTCAATAAGATGGTAAAATTTGGAGGTTTAATACCATTATGGCTAATTACTATTACGGCTGCTATATACATTCTTACAGTGATCATACAACCAATTTATTTGAGGACCAATCTTGATTTCAAATATCATACATCTTTGTACCTATAAGCATGTTTATATTATTCTAATTTTAACAGAAATTGTGATTATCATAATAGTAATTAGCATAAACATGCACACAACTTTCCCCAACACAGAGTTTTAGTCTGTGCTAGAGAAACTCAGTACAGTGAAGAATTTAGAATAAAGGATTAAAATGAGATTGCCTTTGAATTCTTGGCAGTGTTATTCCTGAAATTTAGAAGGCTACCACCACTAAGGAATTATTCAGGGACCTGCTCTTGTATTTCTTTGCAGAATTCCTCCACAGTTCAAACTGATCTTTATACCATAGTTAGGGTTGCCTCAGATTAAAAAATGAAACTCTAGGGCTGGTGCTATGGCATAGGGGGTAAGGCTACCACTGGCAGTGCTGGCATCCCATTTGGGTGCCAATTTGAGTCCCGGCTGCTCCACTTCCAATTCAGCTCTCCACTATGGCCTGGGAAAGTATTCCTCAGGCTGCACCCACATGGGAGACGCAAAAGAAGCTCCTGACCCCTGGCCTCAGATCCGTGCAGCTCTGACCATTGTAGCCATCTGGGGAGTGAATCAGCAGATGGAAGACCTCTTCTCTCTCTCTCTCTCTCTCTGCCTCTCTGTAACTTTGCCTTTCAAATAAATAAATAAATCTTAAAATAAATGAAATTCCATGCATTGTCCAATTTTAAAGTTGCCATTGGGTTGACTTTGTTTACATCATAAATAAATACCTTTTAAAATTACAAATGAGATTGAAGTGAATTTTTTCCTTTTTATATTTTATCAAATGAAAGTTTTTGTTGAAAACAATACGTGAAACCAAAATTCTTGTATAATGCCTGATCCAAAGTACACATCCAGTGGATTGAAGCTACTGCATGTAGTATCTATAAAATGCTAATAACCTGTTCTGTCATAAAAGTCAACAAATTGGACATTTCCAGAAAGAGTGTTTTTGAGAAACTCAACACCCTACACTCCGAAATTCGAAGTCTGAGAATGTCATTGAGCCAGGAGACCATAACCAATGCTGTTGTTCAGCTATTTATAATTCGTTACGTCCCCTATTTCTCAGTTACAACCCAGGAACACAGTAAGAAAGTTGCTCACAATCAACAAGTCTTTTACTCCAAGAAAGAATATCTATGTGCTTTTAAATTAAGTTTATTTCCTATCATATCCGCGTATCCAAGGTCAAGAGTGGCAGTTGGTGGGAGCTACAGGAGAGACCTGACTGATAGGCTCCAGGCAGTTTAGTGGGTGACATTGGCAGAGTCTAAGGTGTCCCCCAACTTTTCAGAGACCTAAATCATATTTTAGACCTAAAAATAACTTTTTGATGAAATATAGAAAAAATAAGATGAAAATTAACTAGTGTACAATTCAATATATGGAGATGAAACATGAATTGGTTTTACAGAAAAACATGAGCCAAGACATTCCTAGACAATTATGAATTCTTAGGCGGTAGCTTTTATAATATGGGTAGCACTAAATAGTATATGCTTAAACACTCTTCTACGGACATGTGCGTGCATGTTGGAAATAAATTCCAAGAGATATGTTCCACTTCACATACTTGCTTTTATTATTTTTCTCTATGCAGGTTCACTGTGGGTTCCAGAAATGAAAGCAAGACTTTTTATCCTTCTCATCAAATATAAACTCAAAATATCACTGGAAAATAGATAACTATATGAATTGCTCTACATTCCAATATTCACCTGGTAACAGCTGAATAAAAATTATCATGGTACCAAAACAGTGATTTTCTTTTTTCCTATAATTACTTTCATAGCAACTAAGAAATGAGCAAATACAACACCAAAACAAATCAAATGTAAGCATGCCAACCAATACCAAATGACTTGAATCCTGGTTAATTAACTAAAAACAACAAAAAAGGAAAGCAAACTACATTAAATTTGCAGAAGATGTCAGTGTGACACTACATTATATGCACCTATTCAGAGATGAAAATAAAGAAATCACAGAACAACTGGCCTTAGAGAATAATTTTTCATTTTACCATAAATGTGATATATTTTATGCTTCTTGCATAAATATTTTATCTTAATATAGAAGTAAGTAATTAATTTATGATTTTCAAGTTAACACAAATTAGAAAATATTCATAAAGTTTTTAAAAACCCAAACTTCAGACTTTAGAATTTAAAATCCATGGCATCATGAAGTCTGATTTTTTTGGTAGTTTATTTAAATCTGAGAATGCTTTTGTCCATTTGTTCCTGTCACCAATATAGTATTTGTGTCAAAATAACAACAGAGAAGAATACATTCCTCACTGAAACATTTTTAAAGTCTACTAAAAAAGTCAAGAAACAAAATTATTAAAATAAGACATAAGAAAAACTAGAGATGAAATGCATTCAATAAAACATAAATTACAATGAAAATATTGCATAAACATAAACTTATTATACCAAAAGAAAATTATGTACCTTACATGCTTAACAAAAACATCATCTTACTTAGGATAATTCTGACAGTACAAGGAAAATGAATCCTAGTTCATGGAACATTTCTGGAAATAAAGCTTTTATATTCGCTGACTTAAAATACACATGGAGGAAAGTGAGTAACTAATTATCGAACATGCTTAGTTTTTATTCCTATCATTAAATCATATGCAATGCTCTAAAGATAGTTACTGCTCTATAGAAATATTTTCAAATCTTTCCATTTCTTTTAAAAACATATTTTCAAAAGTTTATAAATCGCTAATCTGATGAGTACCTTGCTGTGTAATTTAAAAAGAGTTCAATTCTAATTTCAAAGATTAGTATACTTCAACCTTACTGCCTTATATAACAATATTGGCAATACAGAATTTAGATTTGTAAATAATTCCTCATTTATAGGCTCAAAGATGGAATCCAAAGTTCCGACTGGGGGCTGCTGCCCTGCACCGTGGTATGTGCCATTCCCCCACTGTTCCTCTTAGCATTAGTCGCAGGCAAGCCAAAAGGGAGAGAAGCACACTACGAGAGAGTAATTCCATTAATGTTTGAGGAGTTTAATATCTCAGATACAGAGAAGCAGCCAAGATTCGTTTGTTTCTCTCTTCCTCTTTCCCTCTCCTGTTCGCTCTCGCTCTCTTTGCTTTCTCTCTCTCTCAGTGTCTTGCCAGACTTTAAGTTGTGGGCTTTAGAAATATTTACCTTCCTGTCTTCATAGAGGGAGTTAGCAGCTGGTTGGGTGAGTCTGAAAGAGTTCCCTGCATTACTCTGAAATATAAAGCCTCTGACTCAGACACTCCCTACGTCCCTTGGTGATGACCATGATAGTTTTAAATAATGTCATTAAAGTGAAATTATGTTCAGCCCCTTTATAGTGAAATTAAAAGATATTTTGGAGTATTAGCTATGGCTCCAATTCAAGGTATTCAAAATAGATATTACAAATGAGTCAAACTCTGGCATAACTTTTTTGTATTTCCTATCATATGGTATTTTTGTATGGTTTATGTAGAGAGTCCTACAACGTGGCACTACTGGCACTTTTTATGTGTGGAAATTCAGCCACTAATTTTGGTTATTGTTTCTTCAATCCTTCTCCCTCTGATATTGATATATTAAGAGAAATGGGACAGAACTCCACCTTCAAGAATTTGTACCCTAGTGCCCATAAATGCAGGCATCATAGAGAAGCAGAAACGTAGTGCTGAAGTGTGAAGAAAGCAAGACATATAAAAGAGCCAGCATGGTGCTGGGGCTAAGATCCGGAGAGCCACTGCACTTAGGGAGCCAGGTGATCCTTTTAGGAACCACAGCGTTCTGCCTGACTTGATCTCTTCACTTCACACATCATTCCTACAAATGCTTGTCCACTCTGCCCTCCATTCAACTGTATCATTTAGTGTGGAAACTCAGTATCTTAATCATTTGAAGGTCTCTAAGATGAATATTCTATCAGAGGGGTAGCTGAACATGGTGATCTATCTCCTTCAGA